GGAATTTCGATTTAACTGAGTTAATTACAACTACTAGAAACCCGTGTTATTTTGCAAGGGAAATAATTAATACGATTTTGTCCTGTTTTGACAGGTGCGCTCTTTATATCCTCGCTCAAGTACAACAAAAATACGCGACGACGCTATTGTCCGGGCAGCGAATTTCGCGATTTTGGTTTGAAACGACACGGAAAGTTCTCCTGATTTATATCTGGTTGTAACGAGGAAGAGGGATGGGAAAAGCGGCAGCTGCGAAAAAATAATTCTGTTCATCGCGCGTCGCCCGCGCAGCTTCAACCGTGACATAAATCACGGCAAAGCCGCCGTCTCTCGCACCTCGCGCAATGGCGGACGGATGATGCGGAATTACCGAGCTGCACTTTGTAATATTAAAAGTCCGGATAATGTATCACTATTAAAATGTAGCAGCCTGAAAAGTTACGGCGCCAGCAGCTGCTAGTAAATTTTTGTTTCCGAGCTAAGCCGTCGGAGATACTATTTTCGCGTTTAAATAGAAGGGGCTGAGGAGGAGAAAGGGATGGGGAATTGTGCTGTTCACCTTTTTACGTTTTATCTCCCGCTTTCGCATTAATTTTCGAATAGCACATGCGAAATTTATCACTATTAAACATTCGTTACGCAAGACCATTGTTTTGTCAATCTTGATTCTGCGAGGTGTGATTTATTTCACGCGCGAATAAGACGTATATGCACATACGTATTTCATTGCCATATATATATATTTAAAAGTGTAATTATTTTTCCTTAACTTTGACGCTCGTTCTATTTATGATTTTATTCTATCATGTCAAAAATTGGACGGGAAACATTCCGAGTGTGTAAGATCCCATTTTAAATTTATAATGCGGCCTTTAATTAATTCAGATTTATGACAGATGCATTTTGGAATTGATTCGTGCCTGTTACATTATACATAGATTTTACCTGTTCACCTAACACCTCTCCGTTCTCTTTTTATTTAAGATAGTCAATATTTTCCAGTTAAGCGTGTAAATACTTGCGGCTAGGATTTCGGGTTACCGAAAACGAAAGTACTTCGCGCATTCGACAGGATAAATATTTATATGTGTAAACGTGAAAACGGAAAGAGAGAGAGAGAGAGAGAGAGGGAAGAGAGGAGAAAGAGAGAGCTAGAGAGAGAGGGAGCACAGTGCGTCGCTGGTAAAATAAATTAAGCTCGTTAGATCTTGTGCCCGGGGAATCAACGAGGACGACTCGGTTTGCAGGTCGCGTTTGCTTTAAACCTTCGCAAGCGGAATTAACTGGCAGGCAACGCCCACCTCGTGGTTTTACCCCAAGCCGCTCAGCAAGGCTTAATTTGCCCACGCCGAATAACAAGGTGGCGAATAATCCTGTACTAGGTCAATATAAAACAAGGCTTGTCTTGTGTAACATTTAGAATACATCGCGAATGTCGCAATCAGTCGCGATAACTTGCTAAAGTTTCAGCGTGCGCGCGTTGAAAAATTAATATTACAATATCGCGTTACCTTACATCGTTACGTGCTATGCATAATAAACGTATAATAATAATAATAGTGTGCAAGAACTCCTATTTAAATATTTTTCCATTTAGAATTGCAATTTTACTTACTATTGTCAGCAATGCCGTTCACAAAATGTGTAGCGCAAATTAATTTATATATGAATTTTTTACTATTTAATTTATTTATTTACACATGAGTTATGTAAATTAATATATAATAATATATTTATACAGAGTGTCCGGTAACTAACGAACCAACGATTACAAATGGATTCTTTGGTCAATTTGGGAACGATTTTTCCTCAGCGAAAATGTCGAAAAAGGTCATCATTTTTTACAACTTTCCAATATTTGTCATTATGTATCTTTATAACTAAGCCTCAAATTAAAATTTTATTATAGTAAACTCTACCTGAAATTAACTGAAGAATGTAATTATGTTAGACTTTTAACTCCAAAACGTTTAGTTTTCAAAAAATCTATTTTTTTCAATCGCTTATAACTCGAGAATTATTGACTTCTCAACATTTTTGCTAAGGAAAAATCGTCTCCAAATTGGCCAGAGAATACGCCCTTAATCATTGGTCCGTTAGTTACCGGACACCCTGTATATAAATAGAAAATCCAAATCGTAATGTTATATACAAGCAAAAAAATGTTAAAATTGTAAGTTATGTTATTAATTATCTGTTTATATATGTATACGTATACACACACACACATATATGTATATATATATATATATATATATGTGTGTGTGTATGTATGTATGTATGTATGTATATGTATGTACATAATATGCAGATGTGTGTGTGCAGACTATTTTATTAATTAGAATTCTACCATGAATGATACGATGTTGGAAATTAATTCCACCTTTCATCGTTATTATTATCACAATGTTTAACATTCATTATAGCTATACAGATTGAATATTTAGTTGTGCTTATAGCATATAGTGACGCATAGAAGCGTTATTGACTCATGTAAATAAAAACAAAACAAACAGCTTCAACAAATGCAAAAGCACAAAGCGAGCGCATAAAACGAAAGGATATCCGACATTGCGTATGAATAATCTTTCGCTTTTCGCTACAAAGCATTTGCTTTCCGTTTGGAAGAATGCATTCTCGGAGAAGGCATCAATAACACAGCCACACAAGCGTGTACAGAATTACAATATCGTATTTCTTCGTTTATATGTTTTTACAAAATTTTGTGTAATTCCGGCCATTCATGACAGTAAATCAACTTCAAAAATAAGCAAACGATAATGTCCCCACGTGGAAAATACCTCCATTTTATGTATTCTTTTTGAAATTTTTACTTTGATAAATTGATAAAAAAAACAAAAATATTTACATGTATATCTATTTATTTCATACGATGTATTATTTTTTAATTATAAAGAAATATTTCGAGAATAAAACGTATTTTAATAGAATATTTCTTTTTATTATCACAACTAAAAATAGGATTCAACTCTTTTGATGCAGGGAGATAATAAAAAACTCGTCGATCGAAAATGATTAAACTGAAAAATATTTTATAGCATTTTTTGCATAACAGCTCATCGTGAGAACTAGATGAATGTTTGCTATATCATAATTCCTGCGTTGTGATCCGTGTCATATACGAAAACGGGGCGATAAAACTCTCGAATCGAAAATATATTTCAAACTATAAACCATCGAACAACCCTTGCAATTTTTCTGCCGCTTAATCCCACACAAATTCTATAATGCGATATAAACTCACTCCGCACGATTAAATCGAATATTGAGTAGTTTAATAATAAACTTTGCAGACACTCATAGTTGATGGAAACAAAGATCGATGCATGTTATTTAATAATACACAAAAGAAAATATATTTCTACTTGCGTTATTCGCGCACAAGTTTTATTTATCGCGCATGAGCTCGAGAGACCAGCAATTTTTGAAATTAAAATCTGGTTGTCCAATATTTTGAAATTTTCAAAATTGAAATTCAGTTATCCAATATTTCTATGCAATGTATCAATTCTCATGCGTAAATTTTTCGTTGTCCGCAAAATGTCAATACGTGAATGCAAATATCTATATACAATTATAAATATATGTTTCAATTCCAAATAATCGGTGAATACTTTACTGGTTGAACCAGTCTAGCGATTGCTTCGATAATCCTGAAATGTGTATCGATCCTTCAAATAAATATTCGTATTCGGTTTGCTTGAAGAGATTACAAGTATTGAAAGCTGTATATATAAGTATTGATTTGAGGGCGGGTACCACCATTATCCGAATTATTATCGCGATATACCAACTGTATTCAATTATAATGATAGAAAGAGGGAGGAAAATCATCATTTTCGCAACTTCTGCATATAAAATTCGATAAAACAAATTTATCAAATGCCAGAGATTCTGCAATCGTAACCCGCGTAACTGTGATATCTCTTTTGCACTATGAATCATTTTAGCGGTTGCATTTTAATTATTCCACGTTTCCATAAACGATACGTCAAACTGATACCGCGCGCAGAACGGAGAGTTTGCACTATATATTTTATCAACTTGAACAATTCGGGCGACGGATTTCGCTATAATGGAATTGGTAAATTGCAAGAAACGTACGTATATATATATCGCGTATAAAATTTTCATCGTTTTATTATTCATAATTCGAAATGTCTATACGACCGATGGCTTGATATGTCTCTTGTATATACACGCCCGCGGCGGTTTACGTTATCTGTTTGACGATGACTTCTGCCGGGCTCTGTTTGACAGGTGCGTTTAACGTTATGCGGAGGCGCGCGCGCGTGCGCGCATACCACACATATCTCAAAGGGTCAAAAGTTCGAGATTACCGTGAGAGAACCGAGTCCCGGCGAGTTTCCTGGGAGTTTCCGTAAAGCGGCCAGGTGCAAACAGATCCGATCCGCGTTGAATGCAACGAAGCTCCCGAAGCACCCGGTACTCTTTCGACTTGGGCGTCGTAAGTTGAACAAAGCGGAGCGGATGCGATGATGAGCAAGTTTTCAATTCTTCGATCTGCGCGCGCCCGCTCCTTGATCTTCCGCGAGCGAGACGTTTGCCTTTCGCGGAAAAGAGAAAATCACTCGTCGACGTTTCACGTCGATCTCGCTTGTTTATCGAGTTTAACTTCGCGCTTCCGAATGCGCTTCCCTGCGTTCTAAACGCTGTTGTCGGGGAATAAACGACGCGGATGAGGGATTGCGCGCGAGATATCTGTGTGATAACATTATTCTCCGCTCTTTGGTGGGAACGTCGCTTTTTTGGGAGAATGAGTTTCGGGAGCAAAGTTATGAGAAAATTAACGTCGGTCCTTTCTCCTTTGGTTTTTGTAACGTAAAAACGGGAACGTACGAAAAGTTCATAGTAGCTCGTCGGGTTATTTTCGAAAATTCTCTTGCACTTTTCGTACATTTATAAATGTGTGTAATTAGCAAAATTGTGCGCAAAGCAAGATAAAAGGAATCACTCACCGAGCTGACAACGATCACCGCCCCTTCCGAGAGGACACTGGCATCTCTGTCTGAATGTTGCCTGCTTTCGTCTAAGATTCACGGTATTGCCCTCGAGATCCACGATTCCTCCGTCCTCCTCGTCCTCGATTACAACATCAACTTCATCTCCATGGAATTGTTCGATATAACAATTTCCAGCTGGTCCGCAGTCCAGGGAACACGCTGGCTCGGTACTCACGATGCTCTCCATCGTGGATGGCAGTTTTTGCTCCAGATTTGGACCCTAAGTAACCACAGGGGAAAGAAATATTACCGCATATGTCTCATATGGCGTATTTCTACGTATTGATTTTCTTATATTGAAATTGACATTTAATGTTACAATATAAAAAGAAACCGTGAGTTAAGGAGATCAGTTTCTGTGTGATACTTTACAGTGTACTTTTATGACTAATGAAAAATTTGTTTAATAATAATTAAATAATAAATTTATAAGATTTTATTAAATTTAATTCATTTTTTATAAATAAATTTAATGTTTTCAAAATATATGAGTTTCTCTTCCTTCTTCTTCCTTAAAAATAATCGTTAAAAATCCTTCAATTAATTATTTCTAAATTGTATATTTAACCTAAATTGTATATTTAACTTAAATTGTATATTTAAAACAGATACAATGAAACCACATTGATACTTCTTTATTTAGTATAATTGAGAAATATTTCAGTATGATCTTCAATAGGACATTGATTTATAATTGTAATCGTATATCAATTAATATATCCGTAAAAAATAAATATCATGTCAATTGCTACTTTAAAAAGTTAGTCTAATAGTTTAAATCAAATTGAGACCTGAATAACGAGTACATTAGAAAACATTTTTACATTTATTTTTTATTCAATTTCGAGCACAATAATGTGAGGAAAATACGTGTGAAAGTATGTGTATGATAAACAGTCAAGAAGAGACGAATATTATTTATGAGTCGACCCGCTTTCCGACATTCACCTCATCATTTATTGATCCCTCTGTTCGCCGTTGTCGATTCGAAGGCAAGACATTTTCAGAAATAATGGAATAGCTGCTGCATGTTAAGAAAGCTATAGCGGATATAAAGTACCTGTTGCACGACTCATGTTTTTTTTTCAGGAGGCTTTTGAATAAAACTTGACCTTTAGAATCTGCAAGCCTTATACACAACATCAAAATATTAATTAATTTTATTCACATGTTTGCAAAGGAAAATTACCGAAAAGCCCAAATTCACGTTTTGTCGATTTACGCATTAATTCATCTGAATTTACGTATTAATGTAATTTTATTAAATTTTAATGATGCTTTCTATAACCAATCACACTGTTAATATATATTCATATGTAATAATTTAATCATTATTTAATAATCATGTGATATACACTTATATTAACATATTCATCTCCATTGTTATTCTATCTTTAATTTAATTTTGCTTTTAATTAACGCTATTGCGAAGAATGCTATTTATAATATTTAAAAATGTGAATATATTATTGTGCGGATATGCAACGGAAAGTGCAAAGTTTCAATGTCATAAATCCCTGTTCATCGACAATTCGATCAGTCAAATCAGATCCTTTGTCGTATTAAACAAAACTTTACGGTCCTCGGTTATATCGTGAATATTAATTCCAGTTCAAGGGAAGATTCCCCGATTGAGAACATTCCGGCTTGCGCTCGATTTCACATAATCGCTATTTCTATACCTCGCACAGACGAGCATACCCATTTACGTCCCTTTACGGAATGTTCTATTCTAGACTGCTTAACCCAAAGACGACGCTCGATCGATTCTCGCAATTTAGTACAAATATGACGGCATGTCGGCATATCAATCAATTAAGTCTATGGAGTTAGTGTAAATTCTTGTAATATTGAATTAATCCAAAATGTACGATATCGAACATTTGTTTTGAGTCAATAAACATCGAGATTGGATTCGAACTCGTGTTTATCACATAGTCAACGTAAGCATATGTGTTGACATTTTTGTTTTTAGCAAGTGCGCTTAAAATGTATGCTGAAAAATTCGTGATTATCCCTCTTGCATTTCATGCAAAAATAATTGTTACAGGACTTTATTTTGCATTCATAAAAAAACAAAAATATATTCAACTGAATATACACATTTACTTGTACATTTTGTCTATTATTTTTTAATTTTTTATTTTATATAAAAATATATTATTTACCATAATGTTATTTTATTTATTTAGAATTCTTTTATATGGAATCAATTTTTTTATATAAATTAAATAGAAAAGAAATATTAGAAAAAAATATTCTTAAACATGCTCGATGAATAATATTATTTTAATGTTTTGATAAATGCAAAATAAAATTCATTAACAAATGTTTTCATATAAAAATAAAAAAAAAATTATTAAGAGAATTTTTAAGCATATGTATAAGCGAGCGCTGCTAGCTGTATTTATATTATATTTCGGATTACAAATGGAATTTTTAAAGTTTCATATATTTTGAAATATGCGTACATTTTCATATACGGTTAAAATTTTTTACAATTGTGTCTATTGTGCTTAAAAAATGCGGTACCGTAACGTTCTTTACAAATATTTGCGATAGAGAAAAAAGAATTTCGCAAAAATTAAGATCCTTTTTTAACTCAAAATACATGTGTACACTTAAATTTTTTTTATATCAAGAATATTCTAGATTTCAAATAAAGTGAACAATTGAAATAGAAGCAATCTTATATATTCCGTACAAAAAATATACACATCCAAGGATTTTTAAAAAGAATTATTGCTGCCTTCAAGGAGATGGAACAGATGCTTTCCGACATATCGCCTTCTCGTATTTTTTATTTGTAGATGCGAAAAATCCTGGATTTTTCACCGGATACTGCTCCGGAATTCTGCATAACAAATGATCGCGCAACAACGTACAAGCACTTATGCAGCAATACGACAAGCTAACCCGGGAAATATGGCGGGTAATGTTACCTGAGACGTGGCGCGCAGCTCGATCCGATCTGCGCCGTTCACGTCATTTATCTTCGTCGTGTTCGCGGTGGAATTCTCGGCCGGAGCATCCAGATGTATCGTAAAGGTGGCACCGCGCATATAAAGGATGTCCTCGACCGCATCCTCATCATCCGCATTATCCGCGTTCGCCTCATCGCTCTCGGCCTCGTCGACGAATTCGCCGAGTTCGCTCGTCGATGGCGATGTCGAGTTGAGTTCTGCAACCAAAAATAGCAGTCGTTTCGTTAGAGAAAGAATGAAAAAAAATTGTCGAGCACAAACTTTGACGCTCTGAATAAACCGCTGCGAAATAATGCAGTCGTTTGCTCGTGTTACACAAACTTGTTCATTAATAAATTATCGAATTTTAACATTTTTTTCATAGTTGATTTTTTTTCCATTACAATATTATCTCTTCCTGCTTTTACAAACTGAGCTGTTAAGTTTATAATTACATAGAATAATATATTCAAATTACTACTATAATTTTTTAAAATACTGATATAAAAATAACACCCGCAAATAATTCACACGTATGCTACGATAAATTGTAACTATGAAAAAATAAATTTTAATTTGTTTTTTAATAAGATATTATTAAAGTGTTTAAAATCTTAAAACTTTAGATTTTAAATAGAAGAAAGAATCGTTCATTATAAAATATAATGCAGCAAAACTTGAAAATTTTAAGAAGAATATGCTATCAAATGAGAAGAGAAACTTTCGTAAATGAAATTATCATTAACGTAATAAAAGCGAGTACAAACTTTTACTTCATCTCGACTCCAATGTCGAAATCACTTCATCTAGCTGTCAAAACCAAATGCAATCAATTGTTCGTTATAGCACATCGTGAATGCGCAGTTTTCTCGTCTCATCTAACAGCAAATTACTTGATTAAAAAAGAAAATGATACGTTAATAAAGCTCGATACCTGCCATTTTGCATTTAAAATCAAAAATTTGACGCGATAATCGTATAAATTAATTATCACAGCCGCCGATTGGTACCGACATACATAAATCTTCAAAATCCAATTACACGCGATAATGATTCTTGCATTTTTATACTCACAAATAAATGCTACAATAAAATGCATATGAAATCCATGCTTGCGCAATATATCGGAAATTGAAATAATAGAAAAGAGAAAGAAAAACATTATTACGAAACTTGCTCCGGCAAATAAATGTGCGGTACAGGGTTTAATATATCATATATATATAGTACACACATACGTTTACCGATATCGGAGAAGTTTCAGATAGTTTGCGAGATCGAAAACAAAATGAGATTCCGCGATGTAGCATTTTTCTTCACTAGCAATTTCAATCCTCACATCAAACACAAACACGTCTCCGAAAATCCACGAGCTGTTGCACGTGCGATACGACCGGTTCACCGCACATGCAATCGGCCCGAGCTAGGACGATGGTGATACCGAGGTGAAGGGTCGTTAGGAACTTATCCGTTGGTCGCGCACGAGTTTCCACGTGTCCATGTACGGCATATACATAAAGCTGTGCCGCCAGGATAGCGCGAGAGTGCTCCTCGAGTTCCTTGAACGGCTGACCCAAACTCGCTTACCCCGTTCGGGTTGATGTAGACGAGAGTGGTAAGAGAGGGAGAAAGGGAGAAGGACGACCAAAGCCTGGCTTTGGATCGCTCGAGGCAAGCTCACGATACCAAACTTCGGCCCGGTTATACTGCTGGTCGTCGCCGTCGTCGCGTTGGTATAAGCCGACGCACAACTACGTGCCTCGCATCGGAAATTCGTGTATAGCGTTAATTTGGTTATTACCGGGCTTGCGGAATAATAACGCTCCGGCCGAGCGAAACGCGCGGCGGTAAACATCAACGTCAGAACGAGAAATACATGAAGGATCAATGGATATACACGCCGGATGCACACCATAGGATATGCGAATTACCGACTCTCCGATTTCCGGGTTTCGCTTTCGAAGATTTATTCGCGATTTAGTCGAGTACGCGATGGGTTCCGGCTTGCGCCGAGCTTTCGGAGCAAAAGGAAACGCGACGGAGGAACTCTCTCTCTTTCTCTCTTCGAGAGAACTGGTCGGTCAGTGACTCCTGAATATGTAACGTAATACTCTTCATGAATAAAACCCCGCCTAGTTCGCCGAGGCCTTTTTCACTTCGCGAAATAGTCAAAGAGTTGCGACTCTGGAACGTTTACATACGCGAAAAAGCAGCCTTTTTCAACATTTCTATAGAACAATCGCTATTATGAATATGATACGAATAGAAAAATCTGTAAGTCTTTTTTTCCATCATTTCAAATAATATGATTTCGAGAAAATATATTCAATTTCTTAAATTTCTGAAAAATGTAAATGACAAATTGAAAGTTGAAAATAATAGTAATATTTAAATCTTTATAATGTAAGTGATTTTGATATAATTATTGATAAATTTTCGACGATTGACTTACTTCCGATACAAATAATTGCTTATGCAAATATGTCAATAGCATTTGCAAACGCTATTGTAGCAATTACGCTCGATAACAGCTGCTTTACTATCCAAAAGCTTCACCGACTTTCGAGGAGACACTCGACTGTTTCTTTTTAACCTTCCTGTCCGCGATATTTGCTGGTGGATCGCGTTCCCGTATTTAATCCCCGGCCATTTAAAATTTAATGGGTCTGTCGTACACGAAGCTTTTCATTCCCAGCAGGTGGATCCCTCCTTGATCTTATTCGAATTCAAAAGCCTTTGACGCCGGTGATTTTTATTTAAATGACGCCTGATGGGGTTTAATTGAAGTTAATCTCAAATTGATAAATTTATAAAACGCGACGTGTCCTAAATTATAAATGCAACGTAAATGCACAATAATCTCTTAATAAATAAATTTTAATACTTAATATACTTATGATGAAATTTGATTTAAACTGTGTAAAATTCATTTAAAAATTATTGATAGTTATTATATCAATGGAAATAAAAAATCTGCAATATAAAAATTTTAACGTAAAACCTCTATGTTACGTAGATAAATTATAAGTATAAATTAAGCCAAAATATTGTATAATGGTATATATTTATATATTTGTGTATATATATATAATTTTTATTTAAATTATTTATATTATTTTTTTATTGTATATGATTAATTTCTATATAAATTGTATTATCTATTATTTATATAAATTATAAATAATTATAAATAAATTGCGTAATTGGAAATAATTACCTACAAAATAAATAAATAAAAAGTTATATTTAAAATTTAAAATATTATAAATGTATATCATATATGTATATTATTATATATTGTATATATACACGTGCATCACAATAGTACACGGGAAGAATTTACCCTGAAAATCATAAGAAAATTATTGGAAAAATTTTATAAGAGTTTCTCTGATTAATATTTACCACAATAAAAAATATTAATGTATAAGTAAATATTTAATCAGAGAAACTTTTACAAAATTTTTCCAATACCATATTGTCCCACGATTACCATGATTTTTAGGATAAATTTGAAGAGAAAATTCTCTCTGTGTATTTATAGTATCTATTAGAAACCTACTTTAATAATCAATGTGAGACAAATAAGATTTTTTTGCACTATATAATATATTTTTAAGATATATTGAATACGACACTGTTATTTATTTGCTATGAAAATTATTTATGATAGGTCGCATAGAAATAGCGCTTTGCATCCATTATTTATTAACAAAATATTGATTTATTGGCCGAATTATAAAATAACTTTCGTAGAATCGAGTTCCAGCATCGAAAAAACACATATTGAGATAAAAATAAAACACATACACACCCACACACACAATAGAAGAATATATTAAACCCAAAATTGAAAATTTAAAAGAAAAAATTTTGAGTCCTTTAAATCTCGCGTTTCGTCATTTTTGCTGGGTTGTATGCAAAAAAATGTAATATAATTCACTCACCAACTGTCAAGCATCTGATATCAATTCTTATTTGCTTCAAAATTTCACGAAGATTCACTCACGGATAAGTCGCGAAAAAGCATTCGATTAAGATTGCGCGCGCGATAAATTTACACGTGCGATTTAATATTACACTCTTCCGAAGTACGTCTTTACTTTAATATATTTTGCATATTTTCGTATATTTATTTTTTGCACGAATAGAAAACACGTCGACAATTTCCAAATAATTGTGGCAAAAACGTTATTTATTCGCTCTTGATACATTTAGGTAATATTCGCACACACTTACACATAATGTGAAACTATTATTACTACTTCAACTGATAATTACTATAATTTCTATCTAAATATTGGTGCACGGAGAGAATTTTGTTAGAATTTACTCTGAAAATCATGATAATCGTGAGATAATATGATAGAATTTTATAAGAGATAATATGATAGAATTTTATAAGAGCTTCTCTGATTAATATTTTTACCAATAAAAATTATTAATATGTACATACATAGTATAAATTGTTTATATATATATATATATATTTCTTTTAATTTGCTTTCTCATAAATAAATCATTTTATTTATTCATATAATAATTTTAATTATTTCTATATTTCTTTCTCGAATTTATTTTTATATGGTATTAAAAGAATTTTATGAATTTCTCTGATTAATATTTATCACAATAAAAATACTAATATCTACCACAATAAGATATGAAATATTGGATTAATTTTACTATGCAGATAGCACATATTAATTTTTTATTGTAGTAAATATTAATCAAAGAAACTTATAAAATTATCCCAATATGGTTTCATGATTGCTATGATTTTTAGGGTAAATTCTAAGAGAAAATTCTCTCTGTGTGCAAGAGAGAGAGAGAGAGAAACATTACGCATATTTTATAACACCGTCTCCCTCGCCCTCGACGACTGACTGAATGAACGATAGAACACAGGAATGTTATGTACCTCCCCACTAATCCATTCTCGAAGATACCTGTTATATACATAAATGTTTCCTTGCAAGGTCAGACGTACCGAGAAGACGGAACGGAATTTCGATGGTTGGAAGAGGAGGCGACATCAAATGAGTAACAATGATAGAAACACATTCATACTAGATGAGTCTATCACGCTTTCGATCATCGATATTACACATTCAGCTACAGAAAATTATTAATCTCGCTCGCGTAGAGTCAGATCGAAATATTAATCACGATATTAATTAGTAATTACCTTGCCATCGATGCAGGATTCCGATATTAA